ACCAACCACCAACGCATATTTACCGCTATTGAAAAGTCCCTATAGCCCCATTGAGACCACGCATACAGCTCCCTATAGAGATCCATTTAGTTCAATCTCCTCTGACATCTGATGATTATGCGGCTCCATGTATTCACCGTCCAATTCTTCTTCTCTTCTTTCGCGCATTATCTCTGGTATGCAAACCTCCCGCTGGTATTCAGAATCTGTTCATTCAGTGGCCTGGTGGAGGTCCATGTGTTGGTCGTAATAAGCGCGAGTGCTGGTATGACAGTGGATATTGTTCCTTAAAGGCCAGGCCGAAGCTTATTAAAGGTGAAACCAGTGGTGAAAAATGCAGAAACATCGACATATCTTACAATAGAATAAAAAGGAAGCGGGCCGGTGTAAAACTGAAATATTAGCGCGCACCTTTTTAGCTGGCGCGTTGGAAGGGAAGGCGATTCGGGCACAGTCGGACAATTCCCAGCATCCCTCAGCAGGGGTCCACTTTGGAATGGAGAAGCGATTTATTCAGCGGCGTAAAAAATCATAATGAAAAAAGAGGAATGAATGGAATAAAAAATGTATGAAGCGGAGAGGCTCCCGTAGGTGCTGTTGAGCCGGGGTTGTAATCAGAATCGGGTGGACTAGCCAAAAATGTAACCTTTATATTTGAATATTGGCGCAGATTGCTGATGGTTGAGCAACTGGGAAGATCTCGACATCTCAAAAACGAGGAACTTTTATCTGCATTGCGCAATAAAGTTCAAACTTTCAACTTTGGTGCTTAGTTAGAACCACGTAAACACTGATGGATTTGATTGAATTGCTTGGTCTAAACACTGGTAGTTGTCAGTATGAAAATATGGAGAGGCTGAGAAGGTTGATGGTTCTACTGCTGCGGTGGAAATGGGGGCAGAAGTAAATTTCAAACTGAATTTTCGATACTAAAGAATAGATTTGATATTTAATACTGATTCTGATACCACGATGCTTATACAAAACACTCTTTCTTTTGTCATTAGAACAATAAATAATAATACTTTCTTTTATATTATCATTTATATCTGTCATATTTGTGTATCTACCTCATTTGTCCAGGTAAATTCCATAATGGTTCATGGGTAAAAACAAGTCTATGTTGTCTAATACTTGTTCTGATAAACCTCAAGATCATTTTAAAGTTATTCAGGAAAGGCTCATTTCTGTCCTGTGAATGTGACTTTTTAGTATCGATACCTGCTATGAGTACCTAGTTTTGAAACTTTTAGGATCAATTATTATCTGATTTTTGATACTTTTGATAACATTACTGTTGGAAATATACCTTAGTGAATTGATGCTACAGTAAGTATGTACTTTTGTGATGACTTTTGTGAATACAGTTGTGCACAAACATTGATTACTATGACCAACTATGCGTGAGACTAATACTTGAAAGCACATGCATACAGACAGTTGTCACAATACTAAAATCGCAAACTCAATTTGGATAGAAAAGAAAACGTTTACCCCAGATTTGGATATTTGCCACATTTACATGAGAACTTTAATTCCCAATAAAAATAAATGAATTCTGAATAAAAATTAGTACAGTTTTAAAAAGTCCCTGTACGCACTTAATTCCTACTGAAAATGATTACTATAATTAAACTTAATAAAAAACCCATTAACTAAATGGTTGGTTTATTTCAATTTTAAAGTCGCATTAATTTATTCCTCAATCATGTAAATATTTATACTTCTTAAAAATAAATCCGGTCCATCTGACATGATCTGGATGAACCGGCTCCACCAGTCCTGGCTTCGGACTTTCATCCACGTCTCTTTGGATTTGTGAGCGGGATGTGGGAGTGGGTTGAGGTAGAGCAGCCGTTGACACAGTTTGTCTTCTTCCTCCCTTCTCCAACACTCGTCCCTTCTCTTCAGCTGACAGACGTAAAGCGAGGTGATTTAATGCTTGAGCTGCTGCTTAATTATCATCGGAATGACTGCAAAAAAAAGCTTGGATCATGTATGTGTCCGTGGCATAACGACAAACTGAGATGACAAAAAAGCCAGTAGCAGCTGAAGTGTGTGTTTTATTCTGGTTGACGTAAATACTTAAATACTTTGTGCCCCTGTCCAATCAGAACCCTTCCTCACCTCCAGACGTTGAGCAGAATTAAATAAAGACAATTTAATGTGTTTTCCATGTAAACTTGAAGGAGAATATTTTTTCAGAACAATTTAATTCAGAACAATTAATTTGGAATAACAAAAAATCATGTAAACGTGGACAATGACAATTTAAAAAGTAATTTTCTGTTCAATTGTAAATCACCTTGTGTGGTTCCATACTGGTTCTGATGTAGATTTAGTGTTTTTTTTAATGTGTAGTTTTTTCCATATCAGCGCCTGCTCATTTCAGAATTGACACACTTTAATACTGATTAGTAGCTGGTCGTATTTTCTTTTACAACTATAACACTGGCAACCATTCACAGGCTCATTTTCCACACACCAATTCACCAAACACATATCTGTCATTTTGCACAGATGAGGCAGTCAGAGCCAGCTTGTACCCCAATGGCCAAAGATGTTTAATTGATGAAGCTGAGTTGACAGAGTTGTAATGTATTCCAGGTCACGACTCCCTGTAGTGTAGAATATACAGTAGGTGTGGGACAGTTAGGGGGAAGTGGGCTGCCCGGGGACTCATGGTAAATGTGATGAATTGGACATGTGTGTTTTGCCCTCCCAGAGCAATATAGCAGGTAACACGTGTAGGAACAATGGCTGTCTCTGCTGTAATGGGCCTGGCTCTGGTGGGAGCACTTCACTTTGCTTACTGCGTCTGTGTGAGAGAGACAAACTGACAGATGAAAACAAGTTTTATTAGCTGCAATAACGGATGGTCATAACAGGTCAAAAGAGTGAAGATATATGACAGAGAAATGGGCGAAAGGTTCAGTTCAGGAGTGGGTGTAGTGATTTCAAAGCAGTCCAGGTGAAGGTTAAGTGGAATGTTGTTCTTATTGGAAATTAAGGTTTCTAAATCTAGCTACTTGGTGGTTATTGTGTAGCCTGATTCATCAGCTGGTTTCACTTCACTTCAGGCGGGTACTTTTTGTCATTTAACCAGTCGCTGTTATTTGGTCGCTAATGGGGCTAACTGGTATATTAAGCTTTTCCCAAATCCCGTAGGAAGAAGGGCAACAACGTTTTTTCCCCTTGGTAAAATTCACCAAACATTCTCTTTATTCTGGCTTTAAATCCTCGATCTCTGGAATCGTTGACAACACAGAATGTATGGCTCTTCACTGATTGGCTGGTGCCCGGACTTGCACTTCTGGGTTTTTGTGAACGGTCTATTGTATTTGATTCCTGACCTAGTTGCCAGAGAGAAATGAAATTGAGCAGAGGCACTAGGTGGTGCCAGCCTGGCTAGTTATTATGGTCAGATCTTGCTAGAATGTACGACTAACTAAGTATTTTCTTGTTGTTTCCAAGGGCAAGACAGTTAATCCGATGCTGTCACTGAAATTAATAAGAAATTGGTGGCAGTTTTTTTTCCGTTTTTAGAGGAAGCTCAGTCTAAGGCTATATTCAGACTGCAAGGCTTAATGCTCAATTTGGATTTTTTTGTGATATCCGACTTTTTTTTTTTTTGCAAGGTTAACATTTCCAATTAAATGGGACTTGTATTTGATCTCCAGTGTGAACTTTAAACACCCCAAAAGTGTCCCGCATGTGTATTGGAGGACACGATGACATCACACAGCGAACATGGACATGGACATGAGGTTTGAGCACCTGGTGAATTTAAAGTTGCTGTCGTACCATTGTCAGAACATGTACAGCTTATGTGTTTTAAGGAGGAGATTGAGGAGGATGAGGTTTTGGGCCATGGTGTTTTGTGGGGCAGTGGGAGCAACGTCCATAGAAAGGAACCTGTTGGTGTGGAGCTGCAACCAGGAGTAGTGAGATTGATATGTGCTTCGTTGCTTCAATGAAGATGGAATTCATACCCAATTTTCGGATAACGAGAAAAACGATTGTGTACATTTGTGAGCTCATAGGTGGGATGAATGCGACCTGGCCGTTCAGACTGAAGTCGCATGTCAAAAAATCAGATATGTATTGGTTTTAGGACCACATATCCAAGTGTCGTTGTATCCAAGTGTATCGTTCAGATTGTCATTAAAAGATCAGATACAGGTCACATCGGGGTAAAAAAAATCTGATTTGGGTCACTTCAGGCTGCAGTCTGAACGTAGTCTAATATTATGATTTCAGTGCCATGTGTTCACTAAAGATGCACTATGGAACTTTTCTGCTGGAGGGTATGACACCTGCTTGTTTTGGAGTTGCTCGAAGTATTACACAGTATGGCATTAAACAAAACATATTTTATATTTGTTCAATTACACATGGTTTCTTATCCAAAAATACCTGCGTAATTTTGCATAATTCTGACTTTGAGTGGGCTTGCCTCCCCACAGATCGGACCTGTAACTTGGCCTGGAAGTGCCAAATGCTTGTAGGAGATAGTTTAATAGAGCTTAATGCCAAATTGTGGAACATTATAGGCAAAGCAGTTGTATCACCATGGAGACAAACAGGTGACGAATCCTCTAACAGAAAAAGTTCCACAGTGCAGCTTTAACTGTCTAGCCTGCCTTTATAAATCACTGTTCCTCACTCCCTCTGTGTGTGATTTCTCTCAGACGTTACCATGCGTCTTGCTTTGCTTTTGCTTTGCTTTGTGTGGCTGTTTTCCTTCACAGTTGTTTTTCTTTCTCCCTGTTGAGTGTCTGGGTAAATTGCAGGCCTCTGAGGGCAAATCGATTCAAGCAACAAGATAACCAAGTTACCCAGCAGTCCCATTGACCGTGTATCTCTCCTCTTTCCTCTCTGCTCCGTCCCTCCTTCTCTTTACGCCTCCGTCTCGGCCACCTTCTCCTCCTCCGGTCATCCTTTACTCCTCCACTCCTGTTTACTCCTCCAACATTTTACCTCCTTCCTTTTCTCCGCAGGCCGACACACCTGCCCACCAGAGAAGTTCGACTGTGGGGGAGCGTCCAGCAAGTGTGTATCGTTGTCATGGCGATGCGACGGAGAGAGGGACTGTGAGAACGGGGCGGATGAGGAGCAGTGCGCAGCTGGTACGTTTTTTATTGACATTTTTTTACATTACTTGTAAAATTTTAAGTAGATATTTTTAGACTGTAGCAAAGCACTGAAAATGTATGAGAGGTGACAGAGGCAGAGTTTGCCCAACAACTGGAGGGTTGCCTTTTTAAACCTCACCTAAAGACTGAATTGCTGTTGTATCATTGAGCAAGGCACTTTGTTCCCCATTCCCTATTTTACCCTATTCCCCATGGTTGTTTGTCTCTGAAGAAATGGCATTATACTGTAATTCAGTAAAATAAATACAGTAATTTCTGGACTGTTGAGCGCACCTGAATATAAGCCGCATCAACAAAATTTTAACAAAATTTTAAAATTGTACATACATAGGCCACACCTGAATATAAGCCACAAGTGTCCATGTCTTCAAGAAAGTTTTTATGTTTGGGCCGTCTGCTTTTATCGCCTCTGAAAGCTTTTGTCGTCTTTTGCACTGTGTCAGTTCGTCACTCTGCCGTCACCAACGTCTCACCATCGACCCATTGATGCCGAGCTCACGTGCAGCAGCTCAATGTTCTTCTTCTACAGCCATATCAATTTCCTTTAACTTAAAAGCTGCATTGTCTGCATTTCTTCGTGTCTTTTCCATGAGGAGGGTCAAGGAGTGTGAAGCACAAAATAACAGTTCAAAACACAATCAAACGGCATCTTCCTCAGTGCATCACCCCCGTCTCTCCCCGCGCTCTACTCCGCATGTCTCCTGCAGAAAGAGCTACTGTACTGTCTGGTATCATGTCAGTGTCTTGGAGGATTTCAGCAGATTTTCAGCAGATTCGCCACCTCCTCATTTACACACTCACCTCCATTTAACGCATATGGATCATTAAGACGTATCCTGCTCGCTAATTTTTTATTTAGCATCATAACTTATTTTGTCACACGGCGATAAACTATTTGAGTGTGCTGACAACATCTCTAGCGCTGCAACTTCATGTTAACCCTAGATCCATGTGTTACCCGCACAGACAGCGGCGTTTTCTGCACCCAGGCTGCACATGCATTCACTATGTTGCTAAACCAAAGACCGTATATATGAATGAACAATGTGCCAAACAAATAATCCATCCATACATTATCATCATTGTATAAAATGCAGGGTTCAAAGTGTGAGAAAAAAGTAGCGGCTTATAGTCTGGAAATTATGGTAATAAATGAAAAGAAAGATTTCTGGTGGGAGGTATGAAACATGTTCTCCATGGAGATGTTATTGCTTTGACTATATAAATGGGCATAGCTATCCTGCAACCGCCGTGATCCAAATAGGAAGTGAACATGGGGCGTGCTTTTGGCTCCATTGCTTCTGGCTCAACTTCACTTTTTATTGAAAAAAAACAAAAGACTGCTGCTCTTCGGCTCCTCATTTTAGTCTTAACATGTTCATATTAACTCACTCTATGTCCTGCTTTTTTATTTGACTATTTGGTCTGTAAATCTATTCCTACGTCCAATATGGAACTCGGCTCCAAATTTGCTTATATAACCGCAAACCTCGATGAGCTTCATTTGACTGGACCCAATCGCTATGGATTTACGTCACATTGTCCTAGTCTACTTCTTTATACAGTCTATGAATTCAACACAGAATGACATAAAAAGTATCTCCATGGAGACAAGCAGGTGGCAGACCCTCCACCAGAAAAATTACAAAGTGTGCCTTTAATATCATTGGGACATTTATTATTATTTTGAAGTTCTAGAAGTTATATCATCAGTTGCGATGTGTAGTGTTTGGATTTTCTGATTATCCCATTGAAGTTTATCTAGTGTGACCAAGATGAGATAATACTGAACATAATTGAACTTTTTAATCTTATAATTCACTTGCTGAGGTTACATTTCTTGCCTTAAGCTTCAGAAACAATCATAAGAGAAAGTATTATATTAATATCCATAGCAAAGTATTTCATTCATTGTTTTTAGAAGCTTTTATCGAGCTGTGCAGTGACTAATGGTAGATGAAGTGCATTCTGGGGTCAGCCTGCTCATTTGCTCTTGTTTGTTTAAAGATAAGACATTGCATAAGCTGAGGAAATAAGGTTCTTTATTGTTCTCATTTTAAACCAACACTTTGAGATATGCTCGTCTTGAGGGACGATCAGTCAAAAGTCTGCAGACAAAAGCATGTGTCTTTGAACTGAAACCTGTTAGAGTTTTTTTCTCAGAGGAAATAAAAAAGAACGATATGAAAAGAGTACACAGCAGTAAAATGGATAGATCAGATTCATAAAAAATGTTTTATGTCAGAAAAAAAAACATACTGAAAAAAAATGGCTGTGAAGTGTATCTAAAACAATAAGCCTGACTTTAGATCTATAAAGGGGCTGTCACACCTTGATGATTTAGCCAGCCTATGCCGATGTCTGAAAAATTTGCAGGTATAGTTAAGTTTTGTATAAGTTATGAGCACATCGAAAATCTTGAGCATGCTGAAAATTTCTCAACGTATGTCAGTGTATGTTTATACATCCTGCATACATGGGCCGTAAGTTGTAGCTAAGTTATGTGATCATTGACACACATTCACACACGTTCATTGTAAGTTACTCATAAGTTCAAATACGTTCAAATAGATGATGTTTAGCGTACCCATAACTTATGAGTAATATGCTTTGAACCTATGTGTAACTTATGTCGAACTTACCTCCAACGCATATTGATGTATGCAGACGTATTTGACATGTTCCCACGACCACAAAACTAACTGAATGTGTTTCTAGCTTATAGCTTCTGTATAATGGCGTGTTGGCAGTGTCTAGGGAAACTGGTATATAAAAATGGGGACACCATCAGTATTCTGAGAGGTGGAGGCCACGGACGCAGCTACTGATGTCACTGACGATGCCCAAGAGGCGTTGGAACCTGCAGCATCTCCATCAGAGGGTGAATGTGAGGGTGAAGTTGTGGGTGATGATGGATCCTCCCTACGTTCATGTCCACACCCACGGCCAGGAAACTTCTTTGGAACGTTTTTCGGAGTTGTCTTCAGCGTGACACTGATTAATGTTGCTCCTGCGATGTCTAGTGCAGTTATGAATCGTCGAGCGGTAGCCTTTCTATAGGCAAAGACATGTGAGCATCGGCAATACGCTGCCATACGCTTCACATAAGTTAGACTGTCGTTGGGCATAAGTTGCGGACATTGGCAACACGCTAAGCATTAGTTGGTGTAAGTTATATATAAGTTATCAAAACATTCTATGTAAGTTACTAATACGATATGTATATGTCCAACTCGTTGAGAATAGGCTATGTATATGCCCAAAATAAAAAATAAAAAACATTGATAGTTCCGCATATGCCAGCAACAAAATGTAACTTCTTTGGTGTTTAGAAACATCCACAGTATGACATTAGTATGAATGTGAATGTGTGAGAAATCATCAAAATGCTAAATCTATATAAAAGAACTGCAGGGTATAATTATGAGATGTTACTTGCATATTGAAAATGCGTTTGTATTTTTTTTGTCACTGCTTCCCTATAAAGATAAAGTTCCCTTTTACAAAAATGCTGCAGTTTTACAATTTTATGAACTGCTTCCAAATATTTTATAAATACATATGTAAGCGAGCAAGGTTACGGAGACAAACAATTGACACCACCAGGTCAAATGCTCTGTTTCACCTTGTGATGACATGAAGCACTAGTTCTTAATTTCACAGCTACCTTTTACTCTTTTGTTTAGTGTCGATTGGCAGTTCCAAGGCTGAAATGGTCAAAGCCTCAGCCTAAATATGCAGGGTTTTTGTGTTAAACGTGTGAATGAAACAAAACTCCCAGGTATGTTTTTGAGCTAGATCAGAAAATAGAGCAATATAGGTCCTTTAATAGTAGAATTTTATGACTAAAATAAAATAAATGAATGACCTGCACGGTTGACCCTTCCCACCTGCATGTTGCTTATATCTGTGTAGTCTCCGTCTCTCCCGTGGTGGGTGATTCTGTGCAGGTTCGGTCTGTGCTGCTGACATTAAAGGTGTATAAAACACATTGATTTTCATCAGTTTCAACATGAGGCCCACAGCACTATCGATTTTACACAGTGACACATGCATACACAACACGCATGCACACACACGCCTGTACAAACAACTGTTCACGCAGCATTTAAAAACATGGAGACGGATCACTTCAAATCGCTCTTTTTAGAAATGTTCTTTTTGTGCTTTCTTTCTTTCCTACCATACTTTTGGTTACTATCAGAGGAGGTAACCCAAAATACTACTGCAGTTAGTACAGGGAAAGTGGGCAGGGTTAGGGGGTAGGTGAAAACAGGAATTCTCTGGACATTCTAGCCAAATGTATATGCTATGTGTATTTTTATTGAAACATCTATTGTATTGTATTGCTCCCATATGTCCCTCTGAAGACTTAATTATACAGAAAAAGTCCATTGTAAAGTGGTGAACTCATTGAACTACCCATATCATATCATAATATCTTATTGTGTCCACGAGGAGCTGATAATATTATTAATAGTAAGCCAGTAGCACCAGCTCAGCACAGATATGAGTCGGTACACTCGGCAGGAGGCCATTTTGTTTGTTTGGGGCTGTCCCTGGCCCATTGTCACTGTGACCTGAGCCATCTGTTCTACTCTACTATAATTAGCAAACAGCTATTTCAGCAACAGTGAATAAGAACAATGTGCTTCTGTTCAGTTCAATGAGTGAAATGGCTTCTACACCAGTGGAGATACTGTCTGAAGCGATGCTAATAATATGTATTTATGTGAACTATAAATACCTAGAAGTACTACCTTATATCATCACCATAAATTGAATTGGCCCAGAGTAATTGTTTGCCACTCAAATTCTACAAAACACTACTACTCCCACTGGTACGATGCTCCTAACAACCCAAAACATGCTACATTGGTCTCCAAGAACAGTTGATGTTAAGGTCAATTAAATACAATCAATGAATGAACCTGCCCAGGGACTACAGGTGGAAATTAGCACTGATGCTACAA